TCTGTTCCACTTTATAGTCGCATCCACCCCAATAAATTATTATGCATTTTTATATATTTAGCACCTAAATTTTATCTTTTTATTTATATCATCCAAATATTTCATGTTAGTAAATAACATAATTGTAGCATCCAAAACATTACTATTTGCAAATCTAGCACACTTTCATTCATTTTTTTTTTTAAATTCTCACTCAAACATTAAAATTCATCTTAAAACTCCAACTCATATTTTTTATTTTTATTAAATTCTCAAAATTTTACATTAGTGTTGGATTTTATAAATAGTGATGTTGCAGGTGTTGTGTATGTAACTATTTGATAAATATAACAATTTTAACTTTTTAAAATGGTTCATACATAGGTAAATTGACACATGTAAAAATTGAAGTTTAGGTGTTAGATATGTAAATACATAAGAATTGAGTTGTATGCGTGTAAATCTTCCAAAATATATAGGTTAAAACTCTATGTAAGAAAAAAATATTACGTACGGTTGACCACATGTAGGGAACAACTAATCACGGAGGAGTACACTAAGAATACACTCAAAGTGTTGTTGAGAAATTTAGGGCGAAGAAAAACAAAAATCGAGACAAATCCACAAGAACACAGAAATTTAATGAGGTTCAGCAAAGATGCCTACGTCCTTAGGAGCAGAGCGGCGAATTTCACTATTTCAGAGGAGTTCAGTTACATACACATAGAGTTACACATCATATATATAAATAAATAATTCATAAATAAAATTACCAACTCGCCCTCGCTCCCCCCCAACCCACTAAATTCCAAGACACACATCTTCAATTCTAAGAGACACTCATCTTCATTCTAGGAGACATACCTCTTCAATTCTAAGAGACTACAAATTCTGGTATACGAGTCATACCTAACAAATCTCCACATTGGCGAATATCTAGCCCTTAAGAGAAATATATACTCAACAAATCTCCAACTTGGCGAATATCCCGCCCCTTAGGAGAAATACATATACCCGATAAATTTTCACCTTGATGAATATTCAGCCCCTTATAAAAAATAAAAACATCATGAAGTTTCTTACACCAAAGTGAGTTGGGTAACCATGTCGTCTAACAATTGCAAACATTCACAAGTTCAAGCAAAGCAAGAACTTGTTTATAGTACCTGGTTTGGTCAACATATCAACTGCATTGTCATCATATGATTCAACAGAGTGAACTTCACGTACAGCTGTACTCCCCAACAGTTGATAGATATTACCTACAGTGATCTTTCCTTTCATCACAGTTAATGCACTTTTAACAATTCTGATAGTTTCTCTATCCTCATATGTCTTAGGAATAAAATCATTTATGTGTAAAGTACCAAATGAAATTAAATTCTTCTTTAGATCTAGAATATATCTTACATCACATAATATTTTGACAATGTCATCATACATCTTAATTCTGACTTTGTCAATACCAGCAATATTGTAACATCTATCATCACCTAAATAGACTGAACCATAATCAGATAACCTGTATGAAGTAAACCATTCTCTGTTATGTGTTATGTAATAAAAGCATCATGAATCAAGAATCCATGCATCCTTCAACTGAGTTGTTATAATTGAAAGTACATCACCATCACTACAATTTGAATTGTCACTCTGCACCATATTCACAGACTTGGAAGTTACAACATGTTTCACATCAAACTACTTCTTGAGCTTTGGACAATCTCTCTTCATATGTCCCGGTTCCTTGCACTTGTAACAAAGAGTTCCTTGCACTGGTTCCTTGCACTTGTAACAAAGAATCATCTTTTTGCCTTTAAGCTTTAACCTGGAATTTTGCATTCCAGAATTCTCATTCTCCTCCTTCCTTCCACGATCCTGTTCACCCTTAACATATAAACAATTACCATGAGAGTTTTCCCCTACATTTTGCTTCCGTTGGATGTGAGCCAACAATGTTATAGTAATCTCATCAACTTTGATAGTTTCTTTCCCATATATCAGAGTAGTCACCAGGTATTCATAAGAAGAAGACAATGAACACAATAAAATCATCGCTTGATCTTCATCCTCAGCTCAATACTTGCATCAAGTCATGACATATCTGTGATTATTTGATTGAAGACATTCAAATGTTGCACCAGTTCAGTTTCTGCTTTCATCTTCAGCCCATACAGTATTTGTTTCAGATACAGTTTATTCGTTAGAGACTTGGACATAAACTGATATTCTAATTTCTTTCATACTTCTCCTAGAGATTTCAGATTCATAACATGATACATAATCTCATCTATCAAACATAAACGTATGGTACCTGTCGCTCGTAGTTGCAATTCTTCATAATCTTCACCTTACATATTATTAGGTTTAGTAGCCCGCAAAGCCTTCAAAATTTCATGTTGTACCAACAAATCTTTCACCCTTGTTTGTCACAATCCGAAGTTATCGGTTCCATCGAACTTCACTATCTCGAATTTTACACCAGACATTGCTATTTGAAATTAATATTGCAGCAAACTTTTCATGCATTGTGTCGAAACATACCGCAAATAAATTCAAAGAAACCTAAAATTTTTCTATCAATTACAACAATTTCCTTGCAATTTTGTTGTGGTTCGTGAATCAAATTTTACATAGGAAGCACTTTTTCTGTTCACAAAAAAAAAATCAGTCGAACTACTGCAAACACCTTGGCCGAAGCTCTTTCCTGTTCCGAGAACACCTCAACCAAACTCTACCTATCGCAAATCCTCCTGTGAAAAACTTATGAACTCCATTTATTGAATACTACTAAACTCCCCTTTGTGAAACTGGACTGAAAAACCGTTGCTATGCGAACTTCCTTGCTGCGGGAACTCCTTCCCGCAGTCAGTCGCCGCGATGATTTGTTGTGACGGTTCGCAAACCCCTCCGCGAAACCAAACTCTGGATCCTGTCCAACTGATCGTGCCAAACCGAATTCTCGTTTGCCTGTAGCGGGAGAAGCCCGGATGCGCAAACTTCTTGCCGCGAAAGAAGCAATCTCACGGAAATTCCTACGCACGAATCCGCCTGCTAGAGTCGCGCACTCCCTACCGATTGCGACAATGTCGCGCACTCCCTGGCTGTGGTTGCCGCTCTTGTCCACGCCGAACATCCTTGTTTGCGTAGAATTCGACGAACTTCAGTGACGATTCGCGACTCCAAAACCGAACTAGTCTTCTATTCACGGAAATTGCCTTGTCGAACTCTCTGCGATCCAAACAGTCGGGATTCGCAATCGAAGCCCTCGCCAAACTGCGAACGTTCTGCCCATATCGACAAATCCTTCTTCTTGCCAAAGCCCTAACCGCCAAACTTCTTCTGTCAAATCCTCAAAATTGTTTGGCTTACTTCATGTTTGTCCTAGAACTTTGCTCTGATACTAATTTTTGAGAAATTTAGGGCGAAGAAAAACAGAAATTGACACAAATCCAGAATAACACAGAGATTTAATGAGGTTCGGCAAATATGTCTACTTCTTCGGGAGCAGAGCGACGAATTTCACTATTTCAAAGGAGTCCAGTTACATACCCATAGGGTTACATATCATATATATAGATAAAACCCACATATAAAATTACTAACACACCCTCGCTCCCTCAAAACTTACTCTCACTCCCCCCAACCCACTAAATTTCAAAAGATACCTCTTCAATTCCAAGAGACACTCCTCTTTATTCAAGGAGACACGTCTCTTCAATTCCAAGAGACACTCCTCTTTATTCCAGAAAATACACATCTTCAATTCTGAGAGACTCCAAATTCTGGTATATGAGCAATACCTAACAAATCTCCACTTTGGTGAATATCCAGCCCTTTATGAGAAATATATATTTTCAACAAATCTCCACCTTGACGAATATCCCGCCTCTTAGGACAAATACATATACCTAACAAGTATAATATATTTGCTCTTTTTCGTGTGCGGTGTCACATGATGTGTAATATTTTCTCTGATCTAAGATAGTAGAAAATTAGGTATTCAATTTTGGTTGATCGATTCTTTATTTTGTTCTAAAATGTTTCTTCAAAATTATGTTTCATATAAGAAATTCAATTTTAATAGGAGAATGTATTATGAGTTTTTAGATCCCTCCCTAATGGCCACATTTTTCATTATTTTCATCTAAAATTCTGGCACATATATTAATTGAATACTGCGCTTATGGCCATCAACATAGAAACCGACATCATCTTTAGTACGCCATATCTTTACCATAAGAAATTATCTCATGGGCTTGACAAATGAAAATAATCCATCAAAATACTTTAAATTGTAGATGGCAATGATGTCTACATAAATAACTTAGGATGTGTTTTGGGCCGCTGTAGCTTTTTTCATAATATTGGTTGAAAAATTGTTCCGAGGAAATTAACTTTTTAAAAATTAATTTTTATTTTTTTATATTTTTTAAATAGCATAATATATTTCTTACAACTACACATTTTAACAATATGGTTGTAAAATGTAAATTCTCAATATTATATTTTAATAAAAATAAAAAGAAAATAGTTAAAAAAAAGATATAAAAGTGTTCTAAAAAATAATTGATGAGAAAATTATCCCAGACAAATCTTTGTTAAAATCTCTATTCATTTTTGTTTAAAAAGTAGCACAATATATGTATATATCTGTGCATTTTAATTATATAAAATGTCATCAGAAAAATAGCCATCATTAAAGAAGGAAAAACATTTATATAGCATAAAGACGTAGACTTGTAGTGTGACAAATACACAAGATATATATTCATGTAATATTAACAATGGCACAAAAAAATACAAACATGAACATCTAAAATGACAACATTTCATGTGTCAAATCTCTTTATGTGATAACAAAATTGAGGCAACATTTATATGGTTGCCATAACTGTATTCTACCAGAGAGAATATTACGTACAGAGTACGTATACATGCAGACTTCACGTATAGTATTGTTGTACATTTGATTTACATGTTGTACATGCGGACTTTACGAGTAATAACTTTTTAGTATCCTACACCTTGGATATACGAACTTGAAATCCATTGACAAGGCGAGCTGAAGGAAAAAAAGACATCCGATCCTCTGCAATTTGAGTCCACCTGTTCATTTTTTTTAATAGCCCATTAGGAGACCATTTTATATATATTTATGCATAGATAGACACACACAAATATATATTGCATAAATTAATTGTTTAATAATAATAATAATAATACTCTTGTTTTCCTTTCATAAAGAAGTCTAAGGCAACTTGTAAGTTATAAATTAGAAATTAGAGTGTGTTTCTAACATCAGAGTTATAGGACTAATTCTAGCTAAATTAGGAGTTAAGTTTCATATTACAAATTTTCAATAATATAGAGAAGCAAGATAAATGTATAAAATAGTTTGTAGATTTAACTAAATGATTTTTTTTTTCTTTTTGGCATTTACATACATAGCTCACAATTCTTACGTAAATACCCATCTAACACCAAAACTTTCATATTCACATGTATAACATTCTAATATTTAATACCACATCATAAATAATAGCTTTTTATAAAATAAAGTGCACCTCTTCGGGCATACGTTTGTGAATCTTTTTAAGTTTAAATATCAAACCTTAGATGTTAGATATGTAAATAGAAAAGAATTTTGTGTGTGTGTGTGTGTGTGTGTGTGTGTAAGCTTCCCTTTTGTTTTCTGAAGAAAAATCAGACTGCACATGCCCTAAGACGTGCAACAAATACGAACCTGCATTTGCTAACAAAATGATGTAAAAAGAAAGCAATCTGAAGACGTGAAATTTCAGCCCCAGGACAATATCTTGCTCCCCCTCCAAAAGGTGAAAAATATGGGCTAGTTCTCCAATTTCTTTTCTCCTGAAAAATAATTAAAATATATCAGTAATTACTCTAGGATATAAAATGATTGCATATTAAACAACATTATACTATATGTATAGGCATCACAATATGATAATAAAAACTCAGTAAGAAATGCATTAATGAATATCAAAAACCTTATTCTCTTCACTCAACCACCTCCAGGGGTTGAAGTGTAAAGCTCCAGGATATATTTCTTCATCCAAGTGAATGGCTGATAGAAATGGCACTACAAGATACCCTTGTGGAATTGTAAATTCTGAAAAAAATAAAATATTTCCATAAAACTCCCCAGGACTTCTATAACTTTTAAAGGAAAAGAGAATTAAGGCGTTTGAGAATGGAATATTCATCACCTTTATATTCCACATTTGCTTTTGCCTCTCTCAGTAACCAAATTGCTATTCCCCCAAGTCTGAGTGTTTCATCAATAACCTGCATTATGAGCATGACACAATACCTTAATTAGATATGCTGGTATTTTGCCAGACAATTATGAAAATAAAAATTTTGAAAATTTTCATACGCATTGAGTGAATGGCATTGCTTTGTAATCCTCCCATTCAAGGATCTCGCTGCGGCGAGTTCTTCTTATGCCCTCATGCTCAATCTGTCAAAAAATAAAACAAAAAATAGAGTAAATGAAGATCAGGATGTAATACATTTTTAATGCTAGTAATTAGAGTAAAAATGAAATGAAAAACTATTGTAAACCTCTATATGTTTCATACTATGTGAAGAAAAATAATTAAAATTTACGTTATTTTGCTGCAAGTGATCAGTGCTACTCACCAGGAGTTGCTCAAGTGCCTGAGGGCAATGAGTGAGGAAATAAATAGCAAACAACATTGTTTTAGTTGTAGTTTCATTTCCAGCAAAGAGAAGGTTTATAATGAAATCAGCTATTTGATTATCATTCAAGTTCTCTTCTTCCACCAATCTGCCAAGAACTCCATTTCTCTCTGCAGATCCACCCTGCTGCGTTCCAGCAACTATTTTATTATTAATCTTAGCAATGATGCCATCCCTTGCCTGCAAATTCAACAGAATAATCATATAAAACACCATGTTTTATTGAATATTTTTCAGTTAGGAAAGCAAATACGAATAAAACTTTCATAAATTATTCACCTTCATGGCAGTGCGGTAAGCAAATCCAGGTAAGTTGATTGGGAGAGATAAACAACCATCAACAAAGTCAGAAAACAGACATGCCATCTCATTGATTTCAGACTCAGAAGAAAAACCCATCAGTTGATTAGCCATCAGATTTATCGCCACCTTAAGACAAAAAAACCATATAATCATTTAAATTGCAAATTAATCTCTGTTAATTAAAGAAATACAAATCTATATTCTCTAACATAGTTACCTTCCTGCAAACATCCTGAAGCACAACAGCACCATCATCAGGCAGAAAGTTTATTGTCTGAAGCATTATATTTTGTGCATCAATTAAGAAATTGGAGTTAGAATTTATCTTCTCGATCTTCATGGAATTTACTGCAATGGCATGAAGTTTCTTCTGCTGATCTCCATGAACTACAATCACCCCATTCTTTCCAACCAGATCTCTAAAAGATTTTGGATAGCAAGATTGAAATAGTTTCCCTTCATTCTGCATTATATAGCGGTTGAACACTGGGTCAGCTGAAACTACTGCTTTTTTCCCAAATAGACTGCAAGTAAACACTTTTCCATGCCTGCAAATGAGTGAAGTTTGAAACTTTTGCTTACAAAAGTTTGGCATTAACACCCCTGAGAATGTGAATTTTAAGTGTCATTTTATATATATACCTCTTCACCTGTTCTTCAACAAATTTTGAGGGATTAGAGCTTGATATAGAGATGTACCATCTAAGACAATCCATTATAATGGCTGACCAGCTTACATCACCTGGTGGTAATGTGATGGACCCAATGCCAATCTTCTTCTTCTTATGATTTTGCCAATAAAACCAAGAAAATATGCAAAATAGTATTGCCATAGAAATGCTCCATAATAGAAGATTGTTAGCCTCCATTTAGCAAGTAATTCCTGAAAGAAATATTGACCGCACCAATCAGAGCTTAAATCTGTTAGAACATAAAACTTCAGTCTCTGTGCAGAGAAGTGCTATTAAGATAGTTTCCGTCCATTTATAAATGACATGGAACATTCACAAAAGCACCAAAAGAGCTCAAATCAGACAGAATATATAACTGAAATCAAATATGCAATCTGAACCAGTATTACCACATAACTATATCTTCTTCAAAATCTTGGAATAAGGTTGCCTTTATGTTTTCAGAAAAAAAAGGCGCTACCTTTTCTACTCCTTGCATCTAAACACAGCGCAAAAAACTCTTTTTTTTTTCAAAACAACATGCCTTGAATGCAGAAACTATACAGAAACATACACTGAAGTCTAAAGATCAGGAAGCGAGAAGATCTGCTTATCTCACCCTGGAAAGTGTCTGAAAAAGCATTAATTTACACAGGCGATTGGTGGAAAAGATATGAAGATTTGAAAGCAAATCTAAGAAAGCTATTCCAAACCGCCTTCTCAGGTGAACGCCGAAGATAATAAGATAAGAGCTTAGAGCTTATTATATACGTAGTCCCACTCATGTTAATGAAAATAAAACAATATTGGGAACAGCTGCACCGAACTCGTGTGAACAAGAAGAGCATGAAACATTGAGGGAGATTCCCAAGGCTTAAATACTGCAGAAATGAAGGAAGCATAAGGTTGACTGAGATCTAACATCACATTCGCTCTCGATTCATTTTTTCATATTATATTCCTTGGCATTTAATCTGCCATCTCAGCAAGCCTAAGTTCTCTTCTGTTATTTAAGATTCAAATCTAATGTACTTAGATTGCGGATCTAAGGTTATTTTATAAGCTTTATCTCTCAAAATATATGTATTTCTCAGAACCCAGATTACTAAAAGGAAGCGAATCTTAGTTGAAAGGAGATCAGGTTAATCGGCTTATGTAGAGATTAGTAATCTTCAGAATTAGGTGAGCTTGGAGGAATAAATTATGATTAGGCTAATTATTTAGAAGTTGGCATGCTTTTGGCATGAGGGATCAGTTATTATAACATAATAAAACTAATAGTTAATTGTATCTTGTAGAAGGTGGCTGAAGTTAATTAATATAGATTAGGCAAGTTTGTTAGCAAATTGGAATCGGCTGATTCAACAATTCTTAATAGGATGGTTTTCTTGGCAAACAAGCTGTTTTTCTTACAGTTTTCTTTTACATTCCCATTCAACATAACCTGACTCATTTTTTTAAAATATTAATGAAAAAATTGCTTCAAATATACTAAAATTCAAGATTTGAACTATTAATTTTTAAAACATTTTCTTTATTTCATTTCTTTTTAATTTTTTTTATTATTAATTCTAGGACATCTAATCCTTTTTATTATGTTATTAAAGTATTTTATTTGAATTAGACACAAAAATTAATAAAATTGAGCTTGAAATTAAGCACATTTAATCAATAAAGCTCAAGAAAAAGGTTAAAAATGACATGCATAATATATTGATTGAAAATAAAAGGAATAATTTCATGATGTTGGATTCAAATGTTCATATTACTGAGAAAAAAAAAATTGGCTCTACTAAATTAAAAAGCTTGTCCCTCTACTCTAATCTTATAACTTATGACCAACAGCATCAATCTTTTCATAAAAAAAAAATACCAATGAAAAAATATTAAAGCCTAATATTGTACATAAAAAATGTGGCAGTGTAGATCTTGAAAGGATCTAACAATCCAAAAGAAAAGATAAAGGCGAAAACTACCTCACTAGCATGGGAGCTTAAGACGTACTTGGTCAACCGAGTGAAGTCATACCATTCAACCAAAATAAGCCAAATGGCGTTCAAACTAGGAGGAGAAAGGCTTCTAGATAATTCAAGCATGAGTCATTCGGTCTGAAATGAGACAAATGAACATCCGAAAGCCAAACCAAAGTGATTACCTACCCTTAAGTAGAGTTGATTCATAAAAAAAAGAAATAGTTTAAAGTCATCTCCAGCCATTCCATGGACGCCCCAAAAACTCAACACCAGGAATCAAGGTAACATCCAAGTTAGATAAGCAGGTCGTTCCTTGCCGACCTAGTTTCGTTGACTGATCAATCCATGCCAATCTAGTTTAGCTAACAGATCAATTCTGTTGATTCATGCCGCCCAAATATAGCTAGCCGAAAGCAGCAAGTTAATTAAGCTTAGCTCGCCGAGCCAGAAAATAGCTAGATGATAATCACATACCGTAAGATACCCTTCAAAATAAAAACAAAATTATATCATCATTATTTTATACTCTTCTCTGTAAATAGAAGAATTATTTTATCAATAAGATACGACTGATCAATCATTAATGTTCACTCACGCGCACCCTAATCTATCCATACCGGAGCTTTATGAATAAAATTGCCGGATGTCCAGATGAGAGAGCCGTTCATTATTTAAAAAGCTCACTTTGAAAGAAGAAAATAATAAAAAACACAGTTGGCGTGGGCAAGCAACCCTCGCACGTCCACTCTGCTTTCACCCGACAGCACTTCCCCCATAGCTTACCATTAGCTGTCATTACATTCTGACTACAGTAGTATTTTAACGCTAAATCCAAATACTAAAACGGGAAGATTAAGTATAAAACAGAGAATTATTATTGCTTAAAACTTAAAAGACCAGATTTTGACGTAATGAATGATGCGTGAAGGCGACGAGCTGAAGGAAAGAAGTGGTTTAAAATTGAAGAGCGCAGCCCACGAGCAGGAAACAGGAGAGTATAATAGTTTAATTTCGTCCTCTTCCTCGCGGTTGGCTCAAGGCATTGACCTCCCAACTGTTCGTTAATGGCGACGTAAAAGGCCACGGTAGCAATGCTGTTCTCAGACTAAAAGGACGATGAACTATCCTTATTTTTTTGTCATCTTGCATTACATTTATGTTGAAAAGGCGACGACTTGGATTTTAAATTTTAGTCGTACTCGTTGCAAGCAAAGGCAGGGAAATCCATGATAGCCTCTAACAAGTTGTAGCCTTTTTTTGTTGGGAGTTTTAGAATCATAATGTCATCTCCCAAAAAAGCTCTTAGGGGTGGTGGGCAGCCCAGGACTTAAATACTATTTTTCAGCCTACACCTAGCCGATGTGAGACTTTTTGTCAGTGACATTCTCCTCCACCCAATCACGTGACGCTCCTCCACCCAATCACAATCACGTGACGCCCTCATCACGGATCGACTCCACCGTGGGTCCCACTGGACCATTGAGAGTTCACACCTGACAGACAGTAATCTGCTCTAATACCACTTGTCACCTCCTAAAAGAGCTTTTAGGGTTGGTGGACAACCCAGGACTTAAATACCGTTTTTCGGCCCTACACCTAGCCGATGTGGAATTTTTTAACCGTGACAATAAGCTCAAATTATCAAACTATTAAAGATTAAAGTTTGACCTGTGCCAACAGGTTAATGCTGTGTGACCAGTCTTCCCACATATCTTGCATGGAGATCAAGAAGTTTGATAGCCTGTGGTGCGGCCCCGTTGAGTAGGAGAAGATGAGCCACAAGTGCTTATAGATTGTTTGCCTCTGGCTTTGTTCGCTACATTACTGCCTCCAATGGAGGTGAAGAGAGACATGATGTTGAGATGTGGCTCTTTCATTGTGTCGACTGAGATATGGGTTTTTGCACTGCAGAGTAAAGAGTGCAGATCATCAACATTGATGGGTTCTGCTGGTGTGCAGGTTGTTGTTTTGAAACATTGATAGAAACTGGGTAGACCATTTAGGGTGTGTAAGATAATATCTTCTAGGTCTACGTAGCCGCTAACAGTTATGATGTTGTCAACTAGAGATTTGATTGTAAGGAGATACTGCGTCATTGTTTGATCTTTTACAAAAATGTGATGAAGTTCGTTGCAAAGCTGAATGACGAGCAATCTATTTGTAGATTGAAGGAGATTGAAGAAAGTGGCCCAAATTTCAGATGTTGACGGGAAATAATGGAAAAGAATTGGAGGAGCGTAGAGTAGATCATCATATAGCAAAGGAGTCTGAGCCTGAGCCTGACAGACCTATTGAATAACCTTTAAAAATATAGGAAAAATACCCTCATCTCCTAAGAAAGAACAAAAACGACCACCACTCCATTTTCCTCAAAGACTAATAGACAAAAATCAATTATACTATAAATTCTTAAAAATATTTAAAAGCTCTCTAATAACATTTCATTTACAGAAGTTATAGAGTAAATATAATGATACATGAAAATTATGAAAAAAAATTTAAAGAAGAAATTTAGATTCTCAAAATTTTAATCTGTGGCATTAATTGAAGAGTGTAGTACTATTATTCAAAAATACTCTATCAAAAATTGAAATGTTTGAATAGTTTTATCATTCAATGCACTATGAGAGATTAACTTATGAGAAATGCATTATGTGACTTGGGAGCCAGCATAAATTTAATACCGTTTTCACTATTTGAGTTACTGGGATTATGAGAACTTCAATTTATCACTATAAACCTTTAGTTAGCTTATTGTTCTTTGATTTTTTTTTTGGGGGGGGGGGGGGGGGACTAAAGAACTTCCAGGGATATTAGAGAACTTCCAGTGATAATAGATAAATTCATCTTCTTAGCTGATCTTAGAATATTGATTATGGAGAATGTAGAGATACCAAGTATTTCTAAAGGACCATTTCTTGCAACTGACAAGATGAATATTGACTTACAAAAAGAAGAATTGTCTATTAAAACACAATATTAAGAATCAAATTTTTAAATCTATAATCATATTCCCATCTATATTTATCATCATGAAAAGTGTTGTTGATTGGAGATAGAAAAGTTACAATTAAGATTAAATAAAGAGAAAGGGGTGAGAAATTAAATATATTAAAAAGAGAAAATAAAAAAGGTTCACCCATGGATAATATAAGAAAGTATCCAGGGATCAAGAAAATTGGAAAATTGGTATTGAAAATTAGAAAGATAATTTGATCGTGGAGAAAACACTTAGGTATAATTTGACATTATTAGGTTGATGACATAATATTAAAAACTAATTGGGAGGTAACTCAAGCGTTATTTTATGGTTTGATTGCATGTTTGTTTTGCTTTATGATATATGTGTGTGCTTTTGTTAGGCTAAGATGTTAAACTAAGCAGTTTCTTTGGAGGCAACACAGGTTTATCTTGTGTTAGCTTACTTTGCTTGATTACTATCATACTGATGTGATTGACTGTATGTTGTTTGTAACGTGACACTTTGAGAAATGGGGCTAATTGCAGGATTTAGATGTAGCAGGCACTAAGCTTTATTCTAAATGATGCCATATTTTATTTTTATTTATAAAAACTATTTCTCGAAGGTGGAGGTATGTTTCATATGCTTTTATTTCTTGATGTTATTTGGATGTTTATGTCTGTGTACATGCGATCTATGTGATTGTTATGTGAATAACATATTATGTAGCTCTAGTGTTTACTTGAATCATTGTTTTATCTATTTCATACTTATGTATTCACTTTCATATCTTTACATCCATGTTCCACCCTGTATTTTTTCTTCCCCAGCCTTGTTTTTTTTAATGTGATTAGTATAAATTAAGTTGGGAGAGTATAAAAATTTGTGCCCTAAGATAAGAGTAAATATTTAAAATTTAGAATTCTATACACATGATAGTTTAATTATGATTCAATGTGATTTAATAATAGATAAAGAAAATAAGTAAAAATGGCATTAATCTTCTATAAGTATTAAAATTTATTATTAACTCACTAATAATTGACCTCTAATTATAATTAATCACTTATTTATATAGGAATTATTAAACACTTAGACTAAAATTGACTATATATAAAATCAATGCATCAAATATATATAATTTAATAACTATTCAATCTAAGCAATTTATTACTAGTTAAATATCTTGAATTATAAACTTTTGAGTTAAGTTATGATATAATTGAGAATTTAATTTAAGAAAAAATGGTATTTAAATTCATAAAAGAAAAGCTTAACCATATATATCAATCTTTGTAAAAGAAAAAGAAAAAGAAAAAGAAAAAAAAAGAGTAGATCATTGTAAAACCATTAGACTTAATAATGGAAAAAAATTGGAGGAGCATAGAGCAGAAGAACATATAGCATAGGAGCCTGAGTCTGAGCCTGCAAGACCTATTGAATAACTTTTAAAAACATTGGAAAAATACCCTCACCTCCTAAGAAAGAACCAAAATAATCACCACCACATTTTCCTCATAGACTAATTAGATAAAAAAATGAATCAGTTATACTCTAAATTCTTAAAAATATTTAAGAAGCTCATTAATAATATTTCATTTGTAGAACCTCTTGAGTACATATCTAGTTACATGAAATTTATGAAAGAATTTTAAAAGAAGAAATATAGACTCTCAAAATTTTGAACTATGCCATTAACTGAATGATGTAGTGCTATAATTCAAAATAACTCCCTAAGAAATTTAAATATTTGAATTATTTTATCATTCATTGCACTATAAGAGATTAAGTTACGAGAAATGCATTATGTCACTTAGGAGGTAGCATAAATTTAATACCTTATTCACTATTTGAGTGACTAAAATTATGAGAACTTCAACCTACCACTATAAACCTTCAATTAGCTAATCATTCTTTGATTTTTTTTTTTTTTTTTTTTTTAAAATTTTTCT